TACATATTGCGGTAAAACAACAATAAACTCGTGGGTAAAAGTTATGATTTTTTTTTTTTTTTGATTTTTCAGCCTTACCGTATAGCGGCGCATACAATTATTGTTATTTGTGCGTAGCGCACATATAAAGGAAGTCTTAAAAACGATACAACAATCATCGGGAGCAAAATATACGATTGACTAAAAACTATACCGTATACGTATATATAATATATAATATAATAAAATATTATAGATTTAAATATTAAGTACCTATCGTAATAATATGTACCACCGGATCTCACGAACTATAATTTTTCGTTTGCATGATATTGTTGTTGTTTTTTTTTTTTTTTTTTTTTTTTTTGAAGTCGTTGGTGAAAAATCATATGAAAAAATGAAATAAATATATCTATATAATAAATACATCCATAATATCAAAGAAAAACTAACAGACTTTTTTCTTCACTTATTTAGTTTTTATTAGGTTGTAAAAGTTACACAATAACAAAGTTTTTCAACTGTTATTTTTACTGTCTTTTAATATAATAACTTATAAATAGGTAGAAAATTCGATATTTTCTAAATGAACCGTCAAACGATAAATATATGCATGAAATAGAAATAATTATTATTGCGTGCTGTCATAATATTGATTCAATTGAAAAACAAGTAATTCCAATTTCAAACTTTTTATACTACTAAAAAAACAATTATTTTCCAATTGATATTAAGGTATAGAGTTTAAAAATAATTGTGCACAGGAAATGAAGTATTTAATAGTAAAATGTTAAATATGTAGATGATGCCTTGTTCATGATAAAAATTATTTAATAATTATATTATAATTTTTTAACTGTATTTTTAAAATTTAAATACAATATTATATTATTTATTATAACAATATTTTGTTTGCAATCAACTAACGAGTATTTTAAATTGTTTTCAATATTAAAATCTAAAGAATAAATGAAATAACAGAACTATTTAATATCTACGTATTAATAAAAATATAAATTTATCTATTTTAATGTCTATAAGTAGGTATATTATTGAAAATAAATTATAAAAAAAAAATTAATTTGTTAATGGTATTGTTACGGTGAAATATGTTTTCATAAATTAATGTTTATGAAAATTAACTATTTGAAAACTTTACAATAACTATATTCCAAACTATAAATAGTGATTTATTTTTTATTTATTAATATTTATTACCTGTTAGCCGAGTAAATACAATTATACACAATTCGTCAGAGAAATATTTTAATAGAAAATTTAATTCCTTTGTAATTTATTGCAAAATATGATAAAATAAAAACTACGCTGTTAACTCCAATTCCAATTTATTCTCTTCCAGTTGATTTCCATTGACCTCTTATAAAATTGGTCAAATATAATTTTAAAGCGAATAACGATTCAATTTTGAAAAAAAAAAATATAATAATCTTTTAAAATGTCAAGATTATGCTTATAATGTTTATATCAAACTACTAACATATTATTGTTTAAACTTTGTGTAATATCATAATTTCGTACCACCCTCAAAATTTCTTGTATAGAAATAGTAGTGTCTTGTGTTTTTATTAGTCGTTGTGTTGACGGAAACGATATGGGCATTAATCGAACCTTGTTTTTTTATTATTGTTAATGTATTCGTTTACACGTTCCTTTAACAAATAACAATCGACAGATGAAAAATTCACAACATCGAGTGAGGTTCCCAGGCATAAGTCAGGTGTAAGTCAGAAAATCTCGGTTGCCAATTGGCCGAGTTTGTTCAATGAGTTGGTAAATATTTGTCATGACAAAATAAATCTGAACAAAATTTGCTTTGAACATGGAACAGCAATTGATGGTTTCCGTTGTAACTTCCAATGAAACATTATCCCTCTGGCGAACGCATGTGTTCACCCGAAATTAGACACGAATCAATGGTTTCCTGCCCTACATCGTACATACGTACATTCATTGGCCGTTCCCATTAAATATATAATATTGATAATTGATAATTGACAATCTTTTATTGTTATTATTACACGTAAATATTTATGAGTAAAAATGTTTTGTATTTTTAATAAAATATATTGTTATGTTTACTATGATACTAAATATTATTAACATTTATTAATATTAATGTAATACTATTAACTATAATATTGGGTATTTTAGAATGTTTTCACTTGAAGACAATTATATTAATGTTAATTATTTTTAAAAAATTAATTACATTGTCATAAATCATAATTTAATAATATTAATTACCTATCATAACATTTATCAAAAATGCTCAATACTATTATTTATTCCTTATTATTAATTTAAACTTCTCCGTTACGTTCTAAATATTTTCAATTTAACACAAATACTAATAGTAGCTGTTTAACCTTAAAAGAACAATTATCAAGTAATTAGATTTCGTTATTTTTTAATTATTATATTTCACGTCTGTACAAAAAATTTAAAGTATTTATTTTTTTTTTTAAATCATTTAAGATAATTAACAATTATACAAAAATTTCTATTAAATAATTGAATAACAGTGGCGTAGGATTTTTAATTTCACATTTATTTAACTCAAGCTTAGTAAACTATGTACCTACTTAACTTGCCTCTATAAACATTTTATTTTCTCATAAATTATATATTACCTAAAAATATTTAAGTGGACGCTATACTTACATGCGTTGTTTCCGTCTAAATTCTAAATTAAATATACATTTTAAAATGTTCATGACTTGCTTTAAAATTATAAAAAAAATGTATGTGAATAATATTCTTACATTTAAATTTTATAATCGGTAAATTCATAATAATATTAAGTATTAAAAATTAATTGAATTCTTCAGAACGAACAGTTTGCTTTTATGTAAGATGGAGGCAATGCATAATTCCTCTCAACTATTAACGAATATTTCAAAACAATATGGTTTTTTATTTTTAATATCTATGTACAATACATTTTTTTTTTAATTTAAAATTTTTTTTTTTTGTTCTCGAAAAACCAAACTCTTCAAACTAAAGTCCCACCTCTCAAGTCTTTCTTGCGATTGGATCACTGTTATTATGTAATTAGCCGAGAATCCGAACAGACAGTTATTTTTTTTTCAGGAGGGTAAATTCGAACAACAATAATAATTATTAAATATTGTATACTACTTTACTATATTATACATACAATATCTAATATAATATTATATTATATACGCATATAAATATGTATAGGTATATAAGCACTCACATCATGTGAAGGGTGTTTCGTACATTTTTCATCCCCTCCACCACCACTCATAGCAATTCAGTAATAATGACGACTACGAAACCGACCGACCTTGAAACGACAGGGCGCGCATACACACACACACACACATATTTATACCTCCTCATCTCACCTCCGGCCTAGAGTCCACGAAAACAACCCTCTGCGCCACGTCGTCTTCGGTTCACACATACACACACACACACACACACACACACACACACACACACACACACACACACACACACACACTCACGCACGCACATTCACACGTGTACAATATAATGTTGTCGGACGGCCAAGCCTCTAGATTCCATCATACCGTTTGCCCCGCACAGTTCCAGACAAAACCATCGCCAAACTGGCGCCTCTTGAAAACGCGTATTATAATGGTGTACATCTTCTCTATACGCGTGTATACCAGTCCGTGTAAAATATTGGCCATGCTAGGGACCCGCCTACCTGTTATACACGTTATGATGGGGTAAGGGAGATTTTTAAATTAAACGAAAGCCAAAAAAATATATAATAATAACCATTATAATATGTTTTATTGTGTGTTGTGTTGTACACAAGTATCTGCCAGATGAATTCTGGATACAGCATATGTATATAATAAATATTATACATTTATATATATATATACTATAATGAGTAAAGAAGAAAAAACGATTTATCAATATAAATCTACTATAAATACTAATAATAATTTAACGCGTATGTGCACGTTTGTGTGTGTTCTCGCCGAATTTTCCCACACAACAGAAAACCAGCAGTGTTCTTCCTATATCAAGCCAGTAGCTAGCAACTATTGTTTATGAAAATCTTTGAAATAATGTAATGATTTGCTTTTAAATAGATAAATTTATAACTATATGTCGCTTGAGTGTACTGTTTGCATTTGAGTCAAGTTATATTTATAACTTTGAACACGGATAAAATGTAATTTAAAAACATTAATTACTATTAAACATATAATTAATAAAGCAATACATCCTATTTTCAGTAATAATAATATCTATAGATAATTGTTTTTTTTTTTTTTTTTAATTAGGTAATGATTTTGTAGCCATAAATTTATTCATTTTTTACATATTTGTTTTTTTTTACGATTTTTACCTCTTACTATGTTGGCCTAGTTCAAAAATTTTAGGCGACCCTTGGATATACAACCTGTTTTTTTGAGTGCTACGGTGGCGGTGGCCTTCGGAGACTTGAACGCCACCACATGCGGCACAATATTTTACACAAAAAAACTGTATGTATACAATGGTTCAAGGGTGGGGGATGTTATAACACGACCTGACACAACAAGCATTTAGTTGGATACATCCAAGGTTGCCAACCTCACATCTGAACCGGTACACTCGCCGAGTGTCGCATATGTGGGTCGTCTAAAAACCCTAACCGGTTATAATAATCTGCATATGTATTGTACACAATATATATGTGTATAATGTGTATACGCATTAGCATAAGCGTGTTATATAATGTCGAGTATACGAGGAAATGACCTCAGCGGGGAGATTAATTGAAAAACGGTCGACAACTTTGTTCTTTTTTTCTTTTCTCTAACGCTGCGTTGAAAACCGCCTTGAATAGAATTCATAAATCACCCGCTTGGGATAGGTATACCCTGGCTGCAATGTTGCTGGGTCAGCTAATGAGCGTCGAGTAAGCATAAAACTTACAAAAGCCGTTGGTCACTCAACCCTTTTCAATAAAAAAAATAAAAAAATAAAACACAAAAAAACTACCACGTTTATTAAAGACAACTTAATCGCTAATTCTTATTACATAATCATTATTTTTACAACACGTACATTTTTACCATCTCAAGCTCAATTTCAATTTATTAGAATCAGGCACAATGCATTTGCGGGTTACTAATTTGCAGGCAAGAGTAGGCTTATTTACGGCTGGTTTATAATGCAAGTTTTCGGGAAGTTCTAGAACCACGGTCTTGTACGATGTCAACGGCACTCTCTCAGTACAAGTCCCATCACCTATGCTCAAAATAGTACATCAAACATCACTAATAATAATGTATTACGTTCATAATAAAAAAAAGAAGCTAAATTGACGGATTTTACTGGTTGGTTGGTCAAGTTGAGGCCGGGAACTCATCAGTATCGTCATTAGTGGGTTGATCTGAACAGGTTTTTTGATTTTCGATGTCCCTTTGTCCGGACACCTGAAAAATACGAATAAAATTATTTTAGCTTCAACAAAATTTCAGCAGGTGTAAAACGAGGAAATCGACAAAAAATGCACAATTAGTACGTTTAAGTCATACATTTTTTAGAGTATAACTTGTTTGAATAAAAAGTAATCGCAAACAAGTCGACCAAAGAAAAGATCATTTTTATAGTAAGATAGTTTTATACACAATTCTAATATTTATATTTACAATATAAATAATATATTTATATTACAATATCATTAAATTTTGTTATTTCTTATAGTTAATAACCAATTTTTTTTTTCATTACAAAGAATGTTTCATCTTTATTTTATATTATTTATTAAAAGAATCATAAGGTTAAATTAGTTTATTTATTTAAGAATATTACCCGTTGTTATTTATTGAGTAATAATTTATGATATTTTATTTTATATTCATTATGTTATTAATTATTTTTCATACTAACTCAGTGTTTCGTTATTTGACAATAATAGTCTCATATTTATTGATTTAGTGCTTTTAATTTTTTTTTTTTTAATCAATTGAATAAACTTTATGTAGATTTTATTTGAATGTACTTACATTTGTATTTTTTAATGCAAACATTATTGAATTCACTTTAATTACTTATAAACATCCATATTATTAATAATTAAGTTTATTTATAAACAAAGAATATAGTGGTTAGTATAGTATCGTAAGTGTTCAACTTTGTATAATGTATATTATAATGTATAATTCTTATAAGCGTATTCATATTTAACGTAAAAAGCTAATAAATGAAGAAATTATTGATAGATTGATCATTTAAATTTCCACATTATCATGAGTTGACGCAAATTTTGATAATATCCGAGACACGTCTTTATTGTAGTATATATTTTTACGTCTTGAATATCATCACTTTTTTAAACCTATTGCTCGTTAGTTGATAATCTAAAACTTACGGCTTATCACACAACTTTTGTGTTAATTAAATTAATTTTAATTTAAATATTCGTATTTTATACTATTAACACGTCTCATAAAAAACACGCTTTTGTATTTTTTTAAATTATTTTTCTTTCATAAAAATAATAATACATATATTATATTACTAATTTAATAATTGATTAGGTAAAAACTAATAAGACAATAAGTATACAAAAATTAATAACTTATAAATCAAACACAGTATGTATTAAATATTTCTTTAATATTATAATTGTACGAACATTCATTTTATTCGTATTTTTAGAGCCAATACAGAGTGTAGTTTATGTTAAAACCAGCTGTATAGACAAAGATTTATTTATTTATCGATGGGGTGTGCGGAGACATAAAATACTAAAATGAATATTTAAACCGCTAAATGGAAACTATAATATCTGATTCTATTTAATCCTTCCAAAGTAATGTAATATAATACAAAATATAAGTTGATACAAATAGATACTTGTCACATGCCACATCCGATTTCCAGTATCTTAATAATAAATACAGCGTGTACAAAATATGTCTTAGTTCTTCACTTAAGTTAGTTAAGTTATTATTTAGTTATTATACAAACTTGGGTATACAGTTAAATTGTTAAATATACTGGCATTAATTGTATTATCACTATCTTATTAGTGTATAATTTTGTTCAACACTAATATTTGTCAAACTTAAATATGTTAATAGCTTACTAATTATTTAAATAAACGAAGAATATGCATACGATTCACAATTCATTATTTATACACTAATATTGAATTTATTTATGTGCTTTTATTTAATTATTTATTATTTATTTATTTATTTTTTTTTTTTTTTGTTATTTAAAATTCCAACTATGTAAAATTTATAATATTAAATGTATTAAACAAATTAATATTTTATGACTATTTTAATTTTGTTCAGATTAAATAATACATTATTGAGATATAATTCGTAAATTAAGCAAATTAACGGTATTTAATTCTGAGCGATGTGATGAATGTACCGTTAATATTGACATTAATTAAAAACAGTAATATTCATAATCAACGGTATTGGTATTTTCATTACTATATTTGTTAAAATTGTTAGTGTTTTACTATAATGGTATTTTAAACATTTTTTGTGTGAAGATACAATTTTTATAATAAAAAAAATGCATTGATTTTAAACATCCGGGTTTATTTTTTGTTGCAAATTGAATCTATAGTAAATGGGAAACTCCAAAAAATAAAACTTCCTAAACTTTTTTTAATAATTGGAAAAACCAAAAAAAAAAAAAAAATAAAATAACGAAGAACAAAAATATTTATGCAACAGAAATTTTTGAAAAACTCAATTTTGTTATTTTATTATAATTTAAAAATAAACGTAGTTTCTAATGTTTCTAAAAAAATAATTTACATAAAATACTGAAATTTTATGGATTTAAAAACAATTTAAAAATACTTTAGTTGTTTTTAAACTATTTTTTGGTATTTAATTTTTTTTTCTGTAAAGAGTGATAAATATTTTGTGTTTGTCATAAAAGCTTGAAAATATTATAAAAAGTTCGTTTTAAGTTGTTCTTAGTTCAACTCAAAAACCTTATGTAAAATTATTTTTTATACAAGCTTACATAGTTAAAATTGTATGTAATAGGATCAAAAAAATAATATTTTAAATCGTTGACTTATTATTTTTAACAATTATGCGTATATTATTTACTACATACAGGGAAACCAAAAAAAAAAAAAAAATAATAAAAAGATTATTTTTAAATTAAACATTGCAGATATTGACTTGTAAGTTTGTTACAAACGTTACAGTATATAACTAGTTATATTATTATGAATTAAATTTATTAATATTATTATTATAAAATATAATATTAATTTAATCTACAGTTTTAATAATGATAAAATTCTTATAAAAATATAAATATAACATAATAAAATATCCTAAGATAAATACATTGTTACAGGTTACCTTTAATCAGAATCATTTTTCGTACAGAAACAATGATTTATTATTGAATTGAAATTTAATACGCCCATTGCAGTATTCTAATAATAAGGAGTATGTACTTAACACTATTGCTATAATACGGCAATATAGCAAAGCAATATGTCTAGTTTTTTATTATGTTTTTATTAGATATTTGTATTTGCAATGAGTTTTGGCTAAATGCAAAAATTCCAAATTTATTACTTAAATTACACTGTACTTTTATACTTTAAAATTTTAAAATCATATTTTAGTTGCAACTTTAATTATACAATTTCCACTAATCTACTGCTCGAACACTATAATGGTGAGTACATTGTATTATAATAACAAAAATGACTAAACAGGAAAAAATCTCAAACCTTATCATAAAATTGTCGGATTTTAATAACTATTTTTAACTGAAAGAAGATTTTTTACAGCGTGCACTAAACTTAACTCCAATTTTTCATTTTTTTTTTCAAATAATTGTATAACATAATTTATAAAAAACTTAACATTTTTTATTTATTTTTTAATGGCATATTTTTAGTTTAAAAATATTAAAATACGGAACTTAATGCATACTGTAAAATAGTTAACTCTATTAATTAAAATAATAATAATCGAATTTGGTTTATTCCGCAGGACAAGATTATTATTCCCCTACAGTGTATTTTTAAGGACAAAATGACATTAACATTAGGTGCTTTAAGCATGATTCTTATCATGATAAGTATCTAAATATTCTAAACACATTTAAAATACAAGTAAATTAGATTTTTCAAGTTTACTTTTGAACGTTAGGACGAATGCCCTTGCCTTGCTTATATTGAGATATTTATAGTTTACGAGTACATTAGTTCAATTCTAAAGGTTAGTGTTTCTTATAAGTACAAATTTATTACTTTAAGATTATTAGTTGAAAAACGTAAAAAAGTATATATTTTTATATAATTTAAAATTAAAAAATATTCAACAATAAGCTTGTTTCATGTAAATTAAATAATTGTTAAGGAAATAAATTATTTAAATTAATTAAACAATTAAAAATAGAAATTTACTTTAAATATAACAAATAATTGAAAAGTAGACTTAATTTATAATAAAGTAAATTTGATATACCGTTCTAACCTTTGTTGCTAAGAAAATCAAATAGAATACGATGAGAGAAGTATAAAAGTATCTTTAAAATAAGCCTATTTTAATTAGTTAAATACAATTTAAGAAGCTTAATTATTTTTTATTAAAGAACTTAAATTCATCCAATTGGTTCAAAAAATCGTGTAACAATTAATTCTTGAACCTAAATTTATTTTCAATAACTTAATACCGTAAACAAAAAATTAAAATATATAAAATAAGTGTCTGAAAAATATAAATAATAATGATTACTATATTATTATTATGGCGAAAATGACATAATATACAATTACATTATGAAAAAGTTTCATACATTTTTTAAATAACAAAATTAAAATTAATTAATTTCATATAAATTTTCTAACGCATAAAAACGTTACTGATAAAGTACAAGAACATAAAATATATGATAACTGTGTGTACGTGCTTAACGAATTTATATTTGTATAAATTATGAACATTTCGTGAGCCGCGTAATTGACTGGATTAAAGCAATGTTACGATTAAGAAAAAATATATTAATGAAAACTTCTCTTCTATAGTCAATAGCATAAAAATTATAAATACTCGTAAAAGTGATTTAAATGAATATAACTGGGTTATAACTTATAAGTTATAAGCATAATAAACAATTTTACAAATTTTAGTAATTATTTTATTAACTGTTAGAACATCAAATAGCGCCCAAAGAAGTCATGTCGTAATTATTAAATTATTTAAAAAATATATATATTTTCATTTTTATATTAAATTATATAAATAAAATTTTAATATCTTATATATATAATATATATATATATTAGAATTTCTAACGCATATCTATACAAACTGTTAATACTTGGATACAAATATATTTATATTGTTTGAACAGAATCTAGAGACAACGCAAACTCTTAATTTTAAAATCGTAACCCTTTTTATACAGTAATTTTTTATCCAGTTTTTATTTGTTTCGTTTATTATAACGATGCGTCATTATTAAAATATATAAACGGGTAGTTTATGAGTTACGTAGAATAATTTACATAGAATGTTTTTTATTTAATTTTTACGATATCCAGGATATAAATTATTTAAATATTTAAATAAAAAAATTAATTTTATCTTATTTTCAAGCATAATTTCAAATGGTTGATATTCAAACTTTATAAGATATTCAGTTGGTAAGAACTAAACTTTTTATTTAATAAAATCAGCATTTTTTATATTTTTTTATATAGAAATTGAAATAAATTGTTCTTGATTCTTTTGTTTAAAATTGATAATTAATTTGGCAAAAAATGTTAAATGATACTTTTCCTGCATTAAAATGTCCTTGGACATTTGAATAAAATCACGATTCTTAATCCATATAAAATTATAAAATATATAATAACAATAAAGGTTTTACATTAATTCTATTTTATACTTAATAGTGTTATAATTAAATAATTTATGATATTAATAAATTTGATTAACTTTAATTAATTTTTTCCGATGACACAATAATCATTTAAAAAAAATAAATTTACTTGATTTTTTTAGAATGATTGGTATGTATAAATTGTTTTATTATTTGTTGAAAATTTATGTATTCTATCATAGAATACAAATAATATGAAAAATTTTAAACACAATTCGGTTGTACCTAACTTAAGAAGTCCTGAAAAAAAATGTGTATTTTCTAATAAGTTGAAATGTTAAAATTATATTATTACGAAGATTTAATTGTAAAATGCATAAATGATTTTTTTTTTAATAAATTTGCTATTTTTTAGTTTTATTTTTGACTTACTTTATTTTTCCTTTGGTCTTCCAATGATAGGTTTCTTTACGATTGTTCTTTTTTTCGTGACATTTGATTTTTGGTGTGTTACAACGGATCCTCCGGTCTCCTAAGTCCATTCTATTGACCCGTATCTCTGGTAACCAAGATTTATTTTCTCTATTCAGCTTGAACGATGGTTTAATTTCTACTGTAGACTACTAATTAATTTATTAATTTAACCAAATGAAAAAGATAAAAATTTTACATTCATTTTAATATTAAAATATATATATATATTAAAATTAAATAACATTAACAATGTTTTAGGACGCTCACAATAATTTATTCGGTGTCTATGCTGTATTAATCGGGAACAATCGTATAATTGCCAAAGTGCTGAACTACGGGCGTGTGTGTTTAAATACGTGTCGGTGAATAATGACAGGTGCCTGAATTTATAATAATAATGAATAACCGTGTCGGATTAATGTTTCAGAGCCGGTAACAGGGTGGTACGCCAGGTCAAGCGATGTTACGCTTTATGTCGAGTAGATCGAAGAAGTTTTTTTTTCATATTTACTTTTCTACCCTTAACGTACTCTGTAATTGGTTATTATCTAATAAAAATATTAGACATAGAGTTATAGCGGGTATTTTGAATATTTTATTTTCATGGTTATATTTAATACTTTACAATTTAGTGTTTTTGTCCGTGTACATACATCTTGTACATATTGAAATAGTGTTAAAATTTACACAACGACACACCCTCATCGAAAAGTGGACCCTTGCAAAAAGGATTGTAGAAAATGTACAAAAAAAAAAAAAGAAGAAGACAAATCTTAGCCGAATGGCAAAAAAAAATGTCTTGCGACTGTTTTTGTTTTTACTTTAAACTTTATACTTTATACACCGACAAACATTGATAAAAATTCATAAAAACTTGACTTTATTAAAGTACAAAAATGGAGGGGGGGGTATATTTCAATACTAGGTACCCTTCATAAAATTAATAACCATTTCAAATATTGGATAATAAAATTGGGTCATAGAGATGCAGTTAAGATAAATTTAAATAATTTAATACTTTCTTAATTAAACTCTACGAATATGTGTTATTAGTTATTACTTATTATTTTGCATTAATTTATTTACATAATATATTATCTAGATTTAAAAGTATAATATAATTAGTAGTAAATTATTGATGTACAAATATACATTTTAACCATATATTTTAATTTTGATTATTGTTTAAATATAATATTCTATATTTACTGAAAATTTGAATAAACTTACAATGTTTTTCGTTTAAAAATGCTTTACTGGTACTCTATAGCTTAAAAATTATATTTCGTTGCTTATTACTTATTGATAAATTACAGGAAAAATCGTTTTCAATTAAGTAAATTTATTAAGAAAAACTTTCAAATAAGGTTTAGTCATTTAGAGCATATATTAAAAAGACAAAATAATTTATACAATTTAAACTCATAAAACTACGTTGTACCTAATCTATATACTACAGTTAAGTTATATTCTATCCAGCTACCTCATATGATAGACCATAATACTAAAAATTATTAAATATTATATTTTATAGTTAAATAATATACACAATTTAAAATAATTTTAATACTTATATTTCCATCCACAAAAATTTTTAATCACTATAAAACCATGCTACTACAGATTTACATTTAAGATACATCATTATTGTGTATGCTTACTAAATCAATGTTGTTCATAAAAAGTGTTTGTGTGTGTGTGTGTGTAATGTACCTATATAATGTATATAATATATTTATTTTTTATTTCCTTACAATTCAGTCAACATTTGTGAAAACAACTACATAGTTAGGTACATTTTATGATAACTATAGCCAGAATAATTGTATACAATTATAAATTAATTAAAGTTTTTTTATTTTGTTTTAGTAATAATATGTTTTGTAAACAAATTAATCAAATACTGTGGATGGATAGGAGCCCACGAGTACATACAAATACTACCTACTATACTAGTATATATAGTAGGTAGCAGGTAACCTACACAACATTAAAGCGACAGTTCTAAAATTACAAACGAACCAACCCGTGGTGTCTCATTAATTAGTCGTGGTACAATTAGTTGCAAGTCAAATTTATTCTAAAACAATGGTCGTGAAAATGTTATTTTATTTTTATACAATAAATGTGCGATACCGTTGATTGCGATGGTCAGGTGGACTTGGCACCAAATATCGGACATAATTTCCCAGCACGAGTAAAATGTTCATTATTTTATCTCAGAGTTGATAATTATTACAAAATTATTATTATTTTCCATTAATACCTATAACTTTTTCGAAATTTATATGTAACATCATTTTACGTATCTACGCGAATAGGTCATAGCAAAATATAAAGTAATTAAAATAAAATATTATCTAACATTTTTTTAAAGATAGATTAAAAATAATCTAGGTATATTTCTATTTCCGAAATACTTAATTAAGTGACATACGTTACAAATTATTTTTTAACAATTTTAATCTTTGCATAGCTTATGCAACAGTGTAATACTATAATTGTAATGTATAAATGTGCACTTTGAGGGTGTTTTAGAAACTCCAAAGGAGATATAATGATGTATATTGTTTCCTTACTTAATTTTTCTATTCTTCTAAGTCCAACCACTTTTACCAAATTTATAAAAATAAAGTAAAAATTGTTTAACATTTTATACAACTGTTACTATATCACCATAACCATTTAAAAATATCAAATATGTATATATCTGTAAGCTGTAATAGAACAGGAAGATGAGATAAATTGTTACTTTTATTATTGGGTATCTCATATAAATTAATTAGAAAATTATAGCATACATCTGGATGTGTTATCTAAGCGTATCTACCTATTATCTAAAAAAACTACAATACAATCATTTAATTTTAATCGTCAAAAAATGTTCTAATGTATTTATTTTTTTGTTAGGCTATAGAATTTTTAGATGTGCATGATAGGTAACCAAATTAATTAAAATGTGTTACTGGTTAAATGAATCTATACAAAGTTTATAATGAAGATTTACTCTTTTAAAATCATTGAAGTTGTATTAACATTGATTAATTATGAGTTAAAATCGATTTCCGTTAGGTTTTTATATATATATAAATAAAATATACAATCTATAGAATTAAGCACAATAAGTATATATAAATTATGGGATAAAAACAATGTTGGGGTTACGTGATTAAGAAGCTTCTCACTAGTGACACTTAGCTTGGGCATTTGTTAAGCTTAAAAATGTAACGAAGTAAGTAATATTTAGATGCACAATAATTTGAATTAAAAGTAATATCAGTCGATTGACTAAAATGTTTTCACAAAGTGTATACAAAATAAAATATATAAACAAAAAGGTATTGTTTTGCATTATAAGAATTTATAATACTATTACATGTTATTTGTTGGATCGTTAATAAAAACAATTATTTAAAAATAATACAGAAAAAATAATTTTAAACTTTAAAGTATAAATATCGCGACAGTTTAAATTAATTATACTATACTGTTTAATAGGTTAATAAATTTAAAATGTTCAATATAATGTTATACCAAATGCTTACTATAAATAACTAATTATCTGTATTGACTATAGGTACATATTATATTTTTTAATTGTTTAAATACCTTATATTAATATACTTACTACCAACCGTATATAATATAAAAAATTATACCAATAATTAAATTAGGTTAATTACATTTAATAAGTTATTTACTTAAAATATATTAGAACCACTTTTTATTTGAATCCTAACAGATTTGATATTTTGATGCACCTATATATTTATATGTTTTATTTGTTTTCTTAACAATCACATAATAATAATATAAACCAATAAAATATACATAAAATATTTTATTTTTTAATTTGGTACTTCTATGTAGGTACCTATCAAATAATATTAATAAATATTAAATAATTGTTTATTAAAAATATTTCTAATAATAGGTTGTATTTAATAGATTTGAAAATGCAGAAAATATTATTTAATGATAGTAAGAGATATAAATACTATTATTTAATACTATTCTCTAATATTTTTACAAATACTAACAAATAATATTTATCAAATTTCGAAGAATTTAAAAAGTAATCGAAAATAAATACTTTTATCTAACTATTACTCTAAGATCAATCGTAGTTTTCTAATTATTCAATCAAAAATATCTCAAATGATTTTGTATAAATTAGCATTTTTATTAACTTTACGTAAATATTCTAATCAATCTATTTTAGTAACATGAAAATATCAACCCATAATAATATAGACCATTCTAATCTTAATATAGGTAAACAATAAACATATAAATATAGAATATATTTAGTTACAAATAACAAGTTGTCAATACATTCATGTCAGTCTACTTAAAATTCTTTTATGTAAATTTTTATGTTTAAAATAAATTTGGGATTTCTTATGAATTATTTAATTATGTTTAAAAGCTTTATAGTATACGTTTATTTGGTCACTTAAAAAACTACCTAATTAGATACATGACGTATACATATATCATAAAAAATATATTTCTCAAATCTCCTAACCTAACTTAGGTTCCTCTTTATTCTAAAAAAAAAAAACATAGTGGAGCCTATTTGAGTTTATGATTTAAGCAGACCACAATAATATTATTCATTATAAAAATTAAAAAATATAATATATTATCAAAGTATACAACTCATACAATTTTAATAATTCACTTTATATAATATATATATATATCAATCTTAAACATTCTTAACGTAATTTAAATTCTAAAAATTATATTCTTGGTCATTCATTAAAAAAAAGTTTAAGTTTTTTTTTACAGATGTCATATAGGTGATAAAAGAAAACTCGTTTTTGTTTTGTCACTATCTACAAATGTGTAATATAATGTAATAGCAAAATATATGAATTTAGAAAAATTAATTTTGTGTAGATGGTTTTAATATATAATTAAAATCAAAATTAATAAAAAGTAATAATTATCAAAAAATAATAAGCATTCAAAAGTATTTTTAGGATAATAATCTCAAACAAATTATCTAGGGTATATTATAGGCGATCATTGATATATTGATATTAAATAAGTTGTAGCTTCCTATATTTAAAATATTATAATTTTAAAATAATGTTTATGACTCAATGAGTCACTTTAAAATTTAATTATCAATAAAAACGTAAGAAATGTATTAGATAATATTCTCACTTTTAAAATTCATTATAGACCAATTTACCTTTAAAGTAATATTAACAACACAAAACAGATATATTGATAAATACAAATTAGTATATAGGTGTGTTGTACGTTTGTAAGATGGACACTACAAATATGTGCGTATAAAAACCTCCTGAATGTATGATACATACATTTAAGAACAAATAAA